TAATGCCTGCTAAACATTAATCTGGCATGAAAAGAATTACAAGTCACAAGATGCCACAGAAAACTGGCACGCTTAAGCTTAATAAAACCACAGTTCCCCATTTTTTCCCAGTTTGAGGCGTCAGATCTCCAACATACATTTCCGTGAATCCTCTTTATTGAATTTAATGAAGTACTTGAAAGCTCCCAACCAAGAGCAAGGCTTCACTCAAGCATGTAGTGCATCACCGAAGGATCCACTTCTTCTGCCAGCAAACTGGCTTGCAAACTTTGGATCGTCGCCTTTTTCCCCAAACGCTGTCTCCAGAGGACAAAGGCGGCTACGATCTGCGACTGTAGGTTGTGGGGGTGATTGACTTTACATCGATAGATGTCAGCAAAAACCCAAACACAGAATTATATGTTCCCATTCGGGTCCCAGTCTCCTGGCAAGTTTGTTCAGCTGCTGATCTGTTGGTGAAGTCTTCAAAACACATGGTGCAATTTCGGTTATATCTGTAACCAAAAAAAAAAAAAAAAAAAAGGACAATAAAAAGAAAATGCATACAACATGTCACTCGGCAATGCTGCAAATGTTAATGTAAGACCTGGAAAAAGGAGGGAATAAGCAAAGTTGAGGTGAAAGAATTAATTAATTAAAGAAACTGAATATATACTCGTCTAGAAAAATTAATTACATAATCAACCAGAAGATTAATTAGAGGAAAACTAATGCTCAGTGGACCATGCTAGGGAGCCTTGAGGTTTTGGGTGTCAATAATCCAGACATCAGAATTCTACTCCAAAGGCAAGACTTCCACAAGTAATTACAGAGTTTGGGGTAGCGAACAAGAAAGGTTTTCAAGGAACACGTTTCCAGCAGGCATCACTCTCTGAAAATTAATCTGCTTGCACCAGTATGATACAGAGACACATGTGGGACCAGTCATACCTTATTACTCCTATTCTGTGACTCTGTTTTTCCACTTCAGAAATTACTTTGATTCCTTAGTTACTACGTATTACTCTATTTTTTTGCTGAGGGATGTTCACAGGAAATTCTTCTGTCTCCTAAGATGCTACTGACCCTTTGTGCCCTGTCATATATGGCAAACTTGTCTTGAGGAGACCAGCTCTGGGGGCTTTTCTTCTATTTGAATAAGCCCATAAGCATGGTTCAGGTGAACCCAAACGAACAGGGCATCAACACTGCTCCCCAGTACAAATTATGCTTCCTTATCCCTCATCCCAGTCGTAGTAACGCACCTGAAAAAAGGCGTGTATGTGCTGTAGCCCCATGCACCTGGCCTCCTTGAAGTTGTTTTCAGGAGAGTGCAAGGGAGCCCCATCATCTCTCAGATTTCTGCCCTATGTCCCTTATTATTCATAGAACCATAGAATGGTTTGGTTGGAAGGGACCTTAAAGCCCATCTGGTTCCAACCCCCTGCCATGGGCAGGGACACCTCCCACCAGACCAGGTTGCTCACAGCCCCATCCAACCCGGCCTGGACCACCTCCAGGGATGGGGCATCCACAGCTTCTCTGGGCAACCTCTGCCACTGCCTCACCACCCTCACCGGGAAGAATTTCTTCCTCATCTCTCATCTACATCTTCCCTCTTCCAGTTTAAAGCCAAGTACCCAACGTGCCCCAGAGCACACTCTTCATCCGAGAAGATGTTTAACATCGAACTGGTACCTGAGTCACGGAGGACAGGATCAATACAACTACATTAAGGTAGCTGTAATTATCAGTGGTAAAAATCTCTTAGGGACTGAACCAAGTATTTCTTACAAACACAAGTGATCTCTTTGTGTATTCCCTACGGGAATGTGATTTTTTTTTTTTTTTTTAAAAAAAAGGCATTAATACAAACTGTTAAAAGCAGCATGAGAATATAGTGCTATTCAGAAACATGCTGTATAAGATCCCTCTCACCCAACTCCTGAACTAATTATACTCGAATTAATTATCACTAAGGAGAGAAACAGGTTCTCCTAGAATACAATCCATCTCACTGGAAAGAAGATGTTGAAAATAATCAGATGAATTACTCTCCATTGACTGTAACAGGAATGCTGGGTACAAGCTCAGATGTTGACGCCGATGCTGTAAACACCCAGTGCCTGTAAATTCAAACCACCTACCCGTTGCTTTAAAAAGGTGCATTTAGAAAAGCAGCATAAGATATTGATAAAGCATATTTGTTCTTCGATACCTTTTGCGATCAAAAGCTGAAATGAAGGGTCAAGGCAGCCTGCAATCGCTGCTCTACTTTTGCTGCTGAAGATACTGGATCAAAACAGAGTAAAAATATCCCCAAGAAAATGCTGATTATAGCCTGTCGGTCTGAAGCAGCAGACTCCCGACAGAAGAGCCGCTTTGCAAAATCTAATTTATAGCTCCAATATCATGCTCGCAGTCTCCACTACAGCAGAACAGCAACACTAGAAAGCAGCACTCCTTCATTTTATCAGAAGTAATTGGTTTTGCATAAAATACCCAAAGCCTGCAAACATTGGTACAATTTAAGCCCAATCATACAGAAGTACTATACAAAGCTGCTTTGAGGAAAGGGAAGATTGCTTTCTGAAGAGTATTTAGGTCCCTTTGATCTTTCTGTCTCCAGATTGCCCAAGGAACCCGAGGCAAGCAGCTGGTTTGGGGACAGGGCAGAGGATGCTCGGCTCCTGAAGAAGGCTGAGCAATACTGGTGGGGCTGCCCTGCGCCGGCACATCACACGTGATACCAGCTCCACAGGTACGGGAGGACGAGGGAGTGCCTTTCAGGAATGCAAATATTCCAGAATAACTAAAATTTAAAATAAATATAGCTACACTGTGCTGTCGCCAACACTACTTTTTGATATTAAACTCTTGCCTTGGCTTATGGTCAGGTGCTAAGCACAGAGCAGCGTGCCCAAAGGCGCGTTACCTGCCAGCCTGGGCTTTTTGCTCTCACGCTGGAATTTTTATACTTCATGTTCACTAGCAGAATGGTTTTATGATACTGAAATGTGATCAAGCAGGGAGGCCTAACTATAATACATGTCAGCTTGTCCATCCAGCCTTTGATATTAGGCAGATTTTTTTACTACAAGTATTTTACCTTCAGCCTGTTATCAGCCCTTTAATAAGAATAAGAATAAAACCCATCCAGGAAATCTTTTCATCTTACGCTACCATCTGATCCTAATATGGATGTGGAAAATTCTGGGACAGAAGCCAAATGTTAAATTTAATACAAAGGGCTGTTATTTTAGTCCCACTGTATTTTCTGCGATAGGTCTTTTTCAGCTCTGATACAAAGTCACTGAGGAAAACCTGCGACAAGTATTATGTGACGGGCAATGTTATTTAGAGGTATAGGGAAATATTTAGTGAGATCTTTTAGTTATGACACATGCAAAATCACAAAAAGATTTGGATATGTTCTAGGACTAATGCCACTCTTAATAAACATAATAGTGTTTCAGGTAAAAGGGACATGAGTTCTCTGTGCTCGGCACCCAAGCTGCTTTGAACACATTGAGAAAACACTGAAGATGCCTTTTTTTAGTTATGTTTACTACAGACCCTCACTCATCATCTCCATTTATCAGGAACTGCCTGAGGGAGGTAACGAGATTAGAGAAAAAGTTTCAGTTCTGCAGATCCTGCACTTGCATTTGAAAGGTACGTTTAGGATACCGAGACCTCAATTTTGCAAAAAATGTGAAGCTCTTCTTGCTTTAGGCGGATCCGATGTGGAGGTGTACGTGCTTATGGCAGGTACGCGCTTCAGCTTAGCAGAACGAGGACTGCGCCGTCAGAAAGGGGAGGAAGCAGGGATGGGGGAAGCACCGGAGGGTGCTGAGGGTTTCCCCGGAGAAGGCGATTTGCAGTGCCGTCACCTCCAGCGAGCACACCGAGTCAAACACCCTGCCTGGCTATGGACACGGTCTACGCCGCAAAATGCCAGGGCCGTACACTGGGGAGGTTCAGAGGCTGAAGTCCCGCTGCTCTCCCTGAAGTCACCGAGTCCCTGAGGACTGGGGAGCTGACAGCTTTGTGCTGAGGAGCGGGGCCAGCCCGGTGCTGAGCTCCTCTCCTGGGACTGCCGGCCAGCTCGCTGGCACGGCGCTTGGGACCATGAAAATCCCCTTTCTCTGGGATGGAGGTTTCGGAGCTGAAACCAACCCAGAGAAAGACCCACAGCTCCTTCTATTCGAAGTCGCAGCACGAGGGAACGCGCTCCTCCTTGTCTCCAGCTCTGGCTGGGCAAGGAAGCTCCTCCACCCTGAGCCTTTATCCTAGCGGTCCCAGTTAAAAAAAACAAGAGATGTTGACAACTTCTGGCCTGTGTGTACATCTGTGCTTCCAGACCTCTGCACTGACGGTGCTGGTGAGTGTGGAGAGGAGACCGAACGGGATATAAACAGACAGGATCACAGATACGTACCGCACAAAACAGGGTAACCCAGATACCAAAGCTCTATAATGGGGCAAAGGCAGCCGGTCGCCACTTTTGCATTTCTTTTCTTCAGAATCTCTCTGGCTTTAAGTAGACTTCAAGAAGATACTGCAACAATCAGGGGGATGGAAAATAAACTCTCGCCAGCTCTGTCCTGCTTGGCACAAGTGGGAGGATGCGACATAAAGTCCAGTGAAAATGGGCTTAAAGAGCTTTTTTTGCTTTTGCTTTCTCATCACCATCTCTAGGTGACGAAAAAAGCTGAGATCATCTCTTAGGCTGTCTTGCGCCATGGGAAAATCTTTATCAGTGTCCAGGAACTGACCTCCCGCTCTCCATGCTGCTGGAACGCAGTGAGGAGCAAGCGAGCGTGGCTCCAACGCAGGACACAGCAGCAAAAAGTGCTGAGGCATTTTTGGGTGATCTGCAAAGTACCCAGCTGATTCCTCAGAACGGCCAGCAGCCCAAAGTGCCTTACGGTTTTGTCTAAAGGCCCCTTCTCCATGTAAGTATGACTTCTCTGTGCATGACCAAAAGCACCGGTTGGAGTTTCAAGGAGCGTTCTCCCTTAGGCAGTCAATACATTTTTACATGATGCAACACAAAAACAACTTTGTGGCTTTTGCCCTTTGCTGTACAAAAGGGACTTTGATGGAAATGATGTACCTGAATCGAAAGTGAGGGAAAAAAATCTCAATCAGCTGCTGCCTAATCCTGCAAGGACAACTCCACAGGCGGTGCAGGAGACAGTTGAGGAGCCAGGGATACAATGGTCCACCTCTTATCTAATAAATATCTAATAAATCTGTCCCTTGGGAAAGGATGTTCTGGGGACTGGTCTCTGCCTCCAGCGCAGCCTCTGTATTTTATCCATTTAAATGACCACGGACATACGCGTTGGATAAGAAGACAGAAGCAGCCCTGGCAGAGGAGATGGGAATCCAGGTCTCTCTGAGCTGCACACCCTAATGCTGAGGTGCACGCTCGTGCTCCTCTTCATTCCCTTTCTCCTGATAAACCATTCCAGAAAAAAAATACAAAGATTTCCCCGGGAAGGGTCAA